AGCAAACAAAAGATAAGATATGTTGGGGCAGGTATGTTGGCCAGGCAGATTTTTTGTGCCGGTATCAGTGTGCTTGGTGGAGAGGTGAGCACCAAAGCTGGAGGGGGTGTGGTCTTTCTGAAGTGGGATTGCATAAGGAGAGGACTCAGCTCCCCCTGGATAACTCACTGGGTTCATTGATGTGCTCAGCCCTGGTCCCAGCTGAGGGCGCAGGGGGCTCAGCTGGTGTGAGTTGGATCCTCCCTTTCTGCCCAGCATTGCAGAGGGGAAAGGGGGTGTGAGGATGATGAGAGCCCCCCTAAATGTCCTGTTCCCCTCTTAATGGCCACCTTCTTCCTTTGCTCAGGGAAAGCGACTGGCTGACCTCTCGAAGCGCCTGGGGCTGCGCCACGTTGTGTTCAGTGGCCTGGAGAACGTGCACCAGCTGACAGGGGGCCGGCTGGAGGTGCTGCACTTCGATGGCAAAGGTGTGGTGGAGGAGTATTTCCAGAGAACTGGCGTTCCCACCACGGTCATCCGGCTGCCGTTCTACTTTGAGAACTTCCTCTCCATCTTCAAGCCACAGAAGGCCCCACAGGGAGACACCTTTGTCCTGGGTAAGCAGGACCTGGGGGTCACTGTCCTGTGACAGTGTTCTTGTCTGCTCCCACTAGGCAGGGGCTGGAGGAACCACCAGGGCTGTGGGCCGATGGGATAAAGAGGCTTGACCGCAGCAAGTTGCTGCTGCATCATGGTCCTTTGGACCTGTTTGGTGGCCTGCAAGAAATCAGTGACATCCTGGGCCTGTTTGTGGTGCCAAGGGCTGCTCTGCAGATCCTGCAGTGGCTCTGGACACCACATTTGGGACGGTGGAGGTGGTGAGGCTGCAGATCCAGGTGAGCCACGGTGCTGCTCTGGCTGTCACGGTCTCATAGCTCAGTCCTTGCCATACTGATGGGTGCTCTCATCCCTTCCTCACCCTGTGTTCAGAGGCTAAGTGCTGAAAACTCCGGCTGTACCTCCTCAGAGCTGGGCAGCACTCCAGCTGGGACCAATCTCTCCACACAGAGCTGCCCATGGGGGACACCCCGATGGACGGGATGGCCGTGGAGGACGTTGGGGCTGTTGTGGTTTCCCTGCTGAAGTCCCCAGGGCAGTACATCGGCCAGGTGATGGGGCTCAGCACCGGCAAGCTCACTGAGGCAGAGTACGCCGCCGTCCTCTCCCAGCAGACGGGCAAGGCTGTGGCAGCCAGCAAGGTAGGACTCACAGCTCGGTGTATGGGCTTGGCACAGCCCGGCACTGGTGCCCAGGGTTAATCCTGCTGCCCCTGCGTGCGGCTCGAGCTCAGCCTGGCACCGAAACTGCCCCGTTGGCATTGTCACTGGGACAGCTCATGCTCGTGGGGCACACGGGCGTGCCCGGGCAGGTGCCTGGCTCCAAGGGATAACTGAAGCAGGAGGTCTCCAGAGGAACCAGGGATGGGCACCTATAGAAGAGGTCTCTGCTGCTTGCCCTTCCCTTCAGCACGGCATCCCCCAGGGCCATGCTGAGTTACTGTTACAGCACTCCTAGCTCAGTGCTGTGTCACCGTTACAGCACTCCTGGCCACTCCCCGCCCTTGCATAACTTCTGCGTTTTGTTTGCATTTCGGCTGTGCCTCGGGCAGCCAGTACAATGGACCAGGGGTGCGGTGGCTCTCTGCTTTGAGAACCAAGTGCATTTCAGCAGAAACAAAGCACCTCTGATGCTCTCTGCAGGTTCTGCCCCCCGCCCAGGCACGAAGAAGCAGCTCTTTTCCTCACCAGGGCGGTGCAGAAGCACAGCCATCCACCTTTGATTCAGGCAGGGAAGGAAGTGTGGGGTGTCAGGTGGCAACCTGGGTTGCTTGGGCTGTCCAGAGTCCTTTGTTTGGGGGCTCTTGGGTTTGGTCCAGGACTGGACAGAGCTGGAGCCCGGATTTGGTCACCTCTTTTTCTTTTCCTGAGAGGAATTTTTTTTTCCCCCATGGAAAACCTGTGGGGAAATGACTGAGAGAGATACTGACCCATCTCAGAGTGAGGTGTTCTGCTTTTACAACTGCCTGTGGGAAAAAGGACTTTTTCATTGCTAGCTGCAAGCAGCAGTTGAATGGCTGGGACAGTCCTGGCTTTTCCCTACCCCCCCGTGGGTTGCTGCAGGTTTCTCCCCACCAACCTGGGGAAATGGGACTTTGTTTTGTTTCTTCTGAAAGTTTTTGATTGCACCATTTGTTGTCTATTCAGATTTTGTTAATAAGAAGCTGGTTTTTAACTTTTCCACGCTTCCACCTGAAGTGTCTTAACTTCTAAGTTGTAATCTTGTTAAACTAAGACAACCTCAGCCACAGCTCATGCCCTGGGTCAGGGAAGGGCTCCCTTGCAGTTGCTCCAGGCCTGTGCCACGGGGCAGAGTGAGTTCCATGCCCAGGCCAGCTGTGTGCCAGAGCTGGGTGCTGGCTCTAGGCTGGGAGGGCCGTTCCCTGCCAGGCAGGGCTGCTTCCTTTGCTCAGCCCCAGCAGAAGTGCCTTGCAGAGCCCTCCTCACTGGTGGCAGTGCTGTGCCAGGCTGCTCTAACTGAGCCCTCAGCTTCCCCACAGGGGCTGGGGGAAAGCCCCAGCAGGCTATGAAAGAGCTTTTTCCCCAATTCCCTTGGCAGATCTCACCAGAGGAGTACGAGAAGCGAGACTTCCCTGGGGCCAAGGAGCTGGCTGCCATGTTCCGCTTCTACGCCCTGAAGCCCGACCGAAACGTGGCCCTGACCATGAAGCTCAACCCCAAGGCCCGCACCTTCCAGCAGTGGGTGGCAGACAACAAGGCTGCCTTCTGAGCCTCCCCCCTCCCTCCTCTTCCTCCCCAGCTGCTGTGCCAGGTAGGGGAAGCTGCCTGAGGAGGTGAGGTGGCCTGAGCCACGCAGCCTTCCCAGCAGTGCCCCAGGGAGAGGCTGACCCTGCCCCAGCTGGGGAGAGCTTGGTCCAGTGTGCTTGGTCTATGTGTGAGCTCCTGCAGCTCGGTTTAGACATCTTAGGCAACTAGAACAGGAGGAAGGGCTGCACAGCACAGGTGGACGGGTGGGAGAAGTGCTGCCTATGCACACTGTCTTCAGGGTGGTGGTTTTTTAGTAATTCTGGGTGTTTTAGGGTGGTGGTGGCTCATTTTCCCAGGATCGTGCCCTTTCCCAGGCAGCTCTGGGCTTGGTGGGCTAAAGGTGTGTATCCCTGGGCCCCAAGGCAGTACCTTGGGACACCTTCACAGCAGGTACCCACAGCCAGTGTTGCTGCAGGCTCCTAAGCCAGAAACAGGGATTTCTCAGTGGACCTGATTTAGGCACTGCAAGTGAACCAGCAGAGAGCCAGAGCCCTCAAGTCAGACAGCTCTGGGCCTGACCCTTGGGCTCCTGGAGGTAATTTCCATCACTTTAGGATCATGGAGCTAATTTCAGTCGCTGTCCCCAGGAGTTGAGTAAAACTCAAATCTTTCAAGATGCAGCAGCTTGGAAATGCCCCTTCCCCTTCACCCTCATATGCTCAAGGTACTGCTCAGATTTGGCAGCTTTTCCTGTGCTTAAAATCAATCCCAGCCCCCAGAGATGCTCAAGCCACCGAACCCTGTCCCTCTTTGTCCCAGAGACCTTCATTCCTATTACTGGGGCGGGGAAAGCAGGTGACAGAGCAGGTGGAAGAGTAGACAAGGCAGCAAGGCACAGCACGTGTTAAATATCTTTATGAAGTCCATCTTATTTACATGGATACAGAATCACTTTACAGACAGTTTAATCAGGAGGCAACGCGTGCTTTATTTCAGCAAATTAAGAAGGGCAAGACTACAACACGTCCCTGTTTAACTGGTTATTAGTACGTGGGCTGATGGTACCTGCACGGTATCACTAACACAGTAACCATGGAATACTCACTGCAAGAGCTCGGCTGCACCTGGAAGGAGTGATCCACCTCACTTGCACTCTCACACATGTAAAACAACGATGCTCTGACCAATCCTTTACGCTACGGGTGTTGCGCTAAGGTAATAAAAAGATTTTTGTCCCAAACTGGCGAAGGGCTTGGTGATCAACTTGTACCCGTTCAGAAGCGACAGCAGTTGTGTGGTAACTTTAGTTACTTGGGGGTTAAACCTGAGGCAAAGTGCAGATGCCACCACTGCTCTGTGCAGGCAATCAGCAGGGCTGAGAAGGCCCACGGCTGTGAGGGAGCCAGGGCACGTGGGCTTGGGCAAGGCCCAGGGAGATTCCACTCGGAGCTGTGCAGGGCAGCAGGGCCGTCCTGAAGACAGGGTTAAACCTCCCTGACCCACCAGGTCTCCTGGGAGAAGGTGAGCAATGGTGAGTCCCCCAAGCACACCTGGCATTGCCAAGGGCACCTGAGTGAGCAGCAGGTGGAGAGCTGGGCTCCCTACAGCAAACTGCTCTGCTCTGTGCTGGAAGGACAAAGTTTATTTCACATTTCCTCTGGTTTGGATTCTAAATAATACTTCAACTTTAATTTTTACCCACTAAGCTTCCAGCAGCAGTAGGGCTGTGGAGCAGCCTCCAGAGAGCCCCATATCTGCAAAGCTGGCATTTTCTTTTACTGCCAGTTCCTTGGATGATGGGGGTGGTTGTATCACGATGGGTGTTGGTGCCTCGGTGGTCTGTAGCCTCTCCAGCTGGGATTCTTGCTGTGCTGCCGACTGCCATCCTGTGCTCTCCAGAGCCTGCTGCCAGAAAGATTCACCCCCAACTGCACAGATGACCTGCTGCTGCTGGCTCCTAGTTCCCAGTAGAACGTTTCCCTGCGGTTGAAGTGAAGAGGAAGGTTTAGATTTCCTGGCTGAATTGGCACACAGCCCACCTGGGGAGCCCCTCCCCTCCCGACCTGCCGTCACACCGTCAGCCACACCAAACAGACAAGTTGGAAGCCTATAAAGATGCAAAGCCAAGCCCCTGGAACCCAAGACACCATGTCTGCTGTAGATGATTCTAAGTCCCAGCGCTCCCTCAGAGCAGCCAAGACGCACTGAAGGCACCTGAGTTGCACACTGGTTGTGGTGCGTGGCGAGGCTTTGCTGTGCTCTGTGACAAAGGCTGACTCCTCCCTCGTGCTGTAGGGCCATGGCAGGAGTGGGTCCAGCCCCGGTGCGCTCCACCCCTGTGCCTCTGGCAAGGCTGGGCTTTGCGTGGCAGAACCCGGTCCCAGTGGGACCAGCTCACGGGAACAACCTCTGTGCTCGGAACCAGGGAGCAGAGCTGCAGGGGAGGCCCAGCCACCTCCCCAAGGATGCACCCAGCATCTGTGCAGCTTTTGGCTGCAGCAACGGTGCAGTTTAATCCCTGGCTGGTTGCTCCAGGGCCCAGGGGACAGCTAGGGTTTTGCACACCCGCGGCTGGAAGGCCTGAGGCTAAGTGAGAAGCAACCTTTTTGTGCTCCCAAGAAGTGCTCAGTGTGGGGAAAAGACAACAGTGAAACGCAACAGGCCTCCTACCTCAGATGGGGTGTCAGGAGGTAAACATTTTCTTAAGTTTGGAAAGGAATCCCTCCTTGTTCTCCTCAGCCTCAGGCCTATCCCCGCCTGCGGCAGCGCTAGCCTTGGCCCTGCCACCTGGACACAAACAGCAAAGGGCTGCAGTCAGAGACATCTCCCACCTGTACCAGAGGGTTATTTTAGACAGGGAAGGGTCAAGCCAAGGCAGCTGGTTGTGCTGCATCCTCACATGGCAGTAAGCTCCACACAACCACTTGGCAATGGAGAGCCCGGATCCCAGAAGTAGAAAAGCCAACCATGGGCTCAGGTACCACCATGCCCTTCCCCTCTCCCCAGCCCTCCAACTGATGAGGGAAATCCCCACAGGCTTTGGAAGCAAACACTGGGAATTAAGAGTCTGCCACTAAAACGTGACCATAGCCAGCCAGGGCTTTACAGAGTTAAAAAAGCTGTCCTGGTGGTCCCTGGAACAAGCTTGTCTGGTCTCAAGGTTGTGTCCTTGCAAAGCAGTGCAAAACCACACCAGGAGCCTGATTTGTGTCACTGCAAGCAGCACTCAGACAAACAGTATCAAGGAGAAAATGAACTGGAAGTAGAATTAAAAAGGCTACAAGTATTTCAGACCAAGTGTCCAGATAAGGAATCTTATAATTGACCTGTATATAGAGGTCCTGAAAAGTTGTTTGTCCCTCCAGAAGTGGCTACAGCAAGAACAAAGGA